TATTATTTATTTGAAATAAATCAATAAGGCCACTTCGAGTTTAAGTGCTCGGTAGTTCGCCTTTTTTTAAACAGAATATTAAAATATATCATATATAAAATATATAAAATATATATCAACTCGGTCATGTGCGAGTTGGAAGCATGATATAAACTAATTGCAAATCGAGTAAGAACAAACGCGTTCTTAACAACACTCAACCGTGCTGCTATAAATATATTTATGAAGTGTTTGAATTAATTTGCACCACTGTTCAGCTCATCGTTCGACTTCAACACCGACTTCGTTTGTATATATTTCTGTAAAATTCTTATTTTTCCACAAATTATGATAAATTTTAATAGGTTATTTAATTCCAATTACAAATGTAATATCAACATAATCAATTGCACATACAGTCAGAGTCATAAGTCTACAACCAGGCACTACAAAAAACTTTGTTTGAAAATATTTTCCAAAAAAATAAATTTATTGGAAACAAGTTTTATTGTTTTTTTATAATATTTAATGCACAATGTTTTTGCGAAGTTTCGTTGCATTTCTGCAAAAAACAACCGAGATAACAGTACTTTTATCATAAAGAGTAGCAAAACAAGCGATCAAAAGTCTACAAGCATTTAGTATAAGGTAAAGTTTTAGTATAAAATTTCTGATTTTTTTGCAATTTAGTAACTAGTTGGGTAACCGTGATGCTTAAGAACTTGCACTAGATGGTTTTTCATCGAAACTAGAAGTTTACTGGTCTCCTGACTTGTTATTTCGCCCCATTCCTTTAGGATTATGTCTTTCAGATGCTGTTTGGTCTAAATTGAATATTTACGAGTTTATCTTTTCAAAAATCCCCATAAATGTTCAATTAGATTTAAAATCGGTGATTATGGAGGCATATTCAGGCATATTTGTAGCGTTATATAGCAACCAAGTACGCACAATTTATGCTGTATGTTTAGGATCATTGTCCTGTTGAAAGTAAAATCCATCTGTTAGTCCCAATTTGTCAGCACATGGTCGTATATAACTCTTCAAAATATTTAGATAAATATCTCTTTTCATTGTTGTTTCCACAAACTCAACATTTCCCGTACCTTTAGCTGTCATACAACCCCAGAGCACCAGTGTATGACCTTCATATTTTACAGTTGAAAAAAGACTTTGTTTATTGTATGCTTCACCTCGCTTAGGCCATACTAATTTACATCCTTGCATGATAGAAACACAGATATTGGATTCGTCGGAGTTATGCACATTATTTTAAAACTCCTCCGGCATATCTATATATTTATTTTGAAAAGCAATGCGCTTGTTTCGATTAATTAAAGATATGTAAGGCATCCTTCATGCTATTCTACCATGAACACCGGCCCTTTTCAAAATTGAGCGTGCAGTAACCACTAAAATATTTTTTTTGCAAATCTTTTCTGTATATTAAGCGGATTTCACGGCGAGTGAGTTTCGATAGGTGACCAGAACGCGTCTTTGACGTGATGATTCCGGTAGTTTTTCAATTTCTGATCACGGTATGGACTGAACAATGCAATCCTCCAAACAAATGCCCAATTTTTCGGTTCGACTTCTCTTCCTCCCAAAATTTTATGATGATTTTTCTTTCTACGACGCTTATTTCTATCCGGTAAGACACCATTGCCAGTTTGTAGTAAATATTTTAAGCAGAATACAATTTTTTGCAGTTTAATGATTAATTATCACAAACACAGTAAGACGCAATCCAAATTTTTACAAATTAACATTTAACTCGCCTTGGAACTGCAGAAATACCAAGTGCTTGTAGACTTTTGATCGCTTGTTTTGCTACTCTTTATGATAAAAGTACTGTTATCTCGGCTGTTTTTTGCAGAAATGCAACGAAACTTCGCAAAAACATTGTGCATTGAATGTTATAAAAAAACAATAGAATATGTTTCCAATAAATTTATTTTTTTGGAAAATATTTTCAAACAACATTTTTTGTAGCGCCTGCTTGTAGACTTATGACTCTGACTGTATGTATATGTATTTATTTCAGGGTTCAGAAAAACACTGTGCTGTGCACAAAAATGCAAAACACCACGCACAAATGTTGTGCGATTCTAAATAAAATTTCACACCATAAATGTGGTGTGCGAAAATTTTTGTGCACACATTAAGTGCACATCTTGTGTGCACAAACAAAACGCACATTTCACACGAATGTGGTGGAGTGAAATAAAACTTGCACACGCATTCGGTGTTTGTGCCGAAGTTATTTCGCACAGCACATTGTGCGTGAGGCATCCAGCTTAGAGAATAGGAGAAGCACATTTTATGTGCACACTCGAAAATAAAAATGCACCCAAATGTGCGGAGACGAAATGTCTACTGCACATTTGTGTGAAATGGTGATTTAAAAGCGCACAATATGACAAATATCGCAGCAAAATAATACGTAAAACTGATTTGTATTAATTTTGGTCTTAATGCGAAATATTTTATTGAAGAAATGATTTTGTATTTATATTTTAATTTTGAATTTATTATTAGATTTACATTTATTGCTTATATTACTTATTATTTTAAGGTTTACTAATTTAAAACATGGGAATAAAGTTAATTTCACAATGTACTTGAAAACTTTGTTATATTAAATAGGTACATGAATTTAATAGAGAAAGAGTATTTGTTTCGAAATGTTATAAGTAAAGAGGATCGGTTCTACGGATCGTACTTTGAAAAAATTAAATATATCAATTTTGGACTACTTCATAAAATTTTATTTAATAGTAAGTTGTACACTAAGATTCGTTAGTAAGGTTATAAAAAGCAAATTAAATATTTTTTACAACAACATAAATTAATTTTGTTATTAGATTTCACTTAATTTTTTATCTTTAATTACAGCTTAAATTTAACGAAGTTATTGAAATAATTTAATAATTTAATATCTTAATTTCTTATTAAATAATATATAATTTTTATTACATATTTTTTGAAATAAATTTTCATTTAATCTTATTAATAACATTGCTGAAATATTTTTTTCACTTAAATTATATCTCTGCTTACTTAGCACAGGAGAAAGGGCGCTAAAGTCCTGCTACCTGTTCAAGAAAATATTTTCCTAATCTTTCGCGTTTTTTAATGAATGTTAGATACTCTATCTAAGTGAATACATTGTAGTGATGATTCCCGCATACCGATTTCTTTAAATAAAAAGAACCGAATCATTTCAATTATGTTTTAAGACTGTTTTATTAATTAAAATCTTTTTACAAAGTTGGTATTTGTGGAGGAGCAGTGTGCATTAGCATACTGTGAGAATTTGCTGAATTGGCGTCTTCACACGCCAGCCCAAACACTATCGTCAAACGGACGGTAGGAGCTCATATTGCAAAAATGCAATAAAGGTATAATAAATATCAGCATACTTATTTACTCACATAGTGTATGCTTATGCACGCTACAACATATTTCTAGAGAAGAGAAATATCTATTTGTAGCCCTCCCGTATTATCTTTTTTAAACTGTTGTAACACTTATTAAACAAATACACCAATACCAATACCTGCTACCTGTTCAAAAAAAATATTTTCCTAATCTTTCGTGTTTTTTAATAAAAGTTAGATACTCTACCTATGTAAATACATATTTTTTGGGAATAAAAAAATCTTCCTAAAATATGTTTTTATTTCTTTTAATCTGGTGCAAACCTTACCAAACAAATACTTTAAGTTCACTTACTAAATTTGCATTTAAAAATACACAAAAGTACTTAACAAAATACTTAACAAAAATAATTATTTTAAATATTTGTTAATTTATGCAATTTTTAATATAAGTTACGATCCCAACGAACGCAAATATCAATTTCTTCAAAATTTGCAACAGAATAATATTTTCTATTTCAAACAAAATTGTGAAGTTCCTGTAATTTTTTTCCACCCTTGGGTGCAAGCGCAAATTCGCACATTTGTGCACGTTTGTGCAATCGCATATTTGTGCACATTTGTGCAATCGTAATATGAGCAACACACCCGTGTGCAGAGAGAATTTTTTGTCGCACAGTGCGGTGCGAGCTTAAAATTTTCTCGCACATCTGATTATGCACATTTTTATAAGTCAGTCGCACAACACAAATGTGTGTACACGAATATGTGTGCACAATCATCGCTTTGTGCCATGTGAAATTTGAAATCGCACAACAAATTTGAGTGCGTGCATTTTTTTTCTTAACACCACAAATGTGGGTGTGCATATTTTAAAAATAATTTCCACTCGCACAGTGTAGTGTGCGATTTTGTGCACCACATTCCGAACTCTGATTTATTTACAATTTCTTTTATTTCCACAAAGCATTATAAATTATTATAATTTATTTATTATGCATTCTAAATGTTTCTTTAACATCATCAATTTTGTTAATATATAGTTATTTAAAATTTCTCTTTTTATTTTCACAAAGTATAACAAATTATTTAAGTTTATATATTACCAATTCTGGATGTTTTGTTAACGAAATTAATTTTCATATCTTTATATATGTATATAATTCTTCTGTACGTGTGTTGGCAGTAAACTCCTCCTAAACGGTTGAACCGATTTTGATGAAATTTATGTGTGTGTTCAAGTGGATTAAAGGATGGTTTAGATTCACAATTTGCTCTATTGGATAATGTCTTTTTAATTATTATACAGTTTTTTGGTATCCATATACATTTATATTAGACATTTAAAATTTATTTATGCTTACTTTGATTTGTTTAAAAAGTTTCAAAACTCTCTAAAATGAATCGTTCAACTATCCTGTTGAGTTTTTGAATTCGCAGGATTTACAAGGAATGCCACTAACATACATAACTTAAGATTAAAAATTGGTTCACCTATAATCATGCTGCGAAATTTAAATGCACCTAAGCTATGCAACGGCACGAGATTAGTCATAAAAAAAATTATGGGCAATGTACTTGAAGCTACAATTTTAAATGTCAAATTTGAAGGTGAAGCTGAAAAAAACATCGTGAATCCCGTGTTTGTTATAGCGAAAAGAGTAAAAAAGTATCCGAAAAGGCAGTGCACATGGCATTAAACGAGTAGGGTCTCATTCCTGTGAAGGGGAAACTAATAAACCAAAACACCAAATTACAAACCTGATGGATATACAGAAAGATTATAAAGAACATCACAATATGGCTTCTTCGAGTAGTAAAATTTTTGGAAATCTTCAAGCTTCTTTAGGAACATCCTTAATCGATCCAAGTCAGTACCCGAGTGAGTTTTTGTGTAACCGTAAAGTTAACTTATGGCCTCCTTTTTCTGTTGGTTTAACGTCATCAAGAACATCCCAAACTGTTACGCAAAATATATTAACATCTCAGCATGGTTTCTTTCCCGCACTATATTATATTCCAACGACCACATCACATTTACAAAGCAACTGAAATGTATCTGATATGCCAAGTACTTTTACGCAAGCTCTACGACTTTATTATATGGCTGGTGTATACATTAAAAATGTCACCAATCTAGATTTTTTGTCAAGGAATCAGTTTTGCCAACAGACGTTATTATGGGCCAAGGAGGCAATTTAGAAAGAAAGCCCTCTCACGACAAATAAATATCAGCCCCTACAAGCCCCTTATCATGCGTGTCCTTCTGTGTGGTGTAGAAGCTTGAACAATTACCAACAGTGATAAGAAAGCGTTTGGAGCATTCGTGAACAAAATTCTCGGAAGAACTATGGTCCCTAACGCGATGGCAACGAGTATTGAATTAGATGATATGATAGGTTATATGAGTTAAACTAACTGAATATAAACTAACTAACTATAAACTTAACTAAGTCATGACATTGACTTAGTTAAGCACATAGAAACTAAGCGGTTTTACTGGCTTGGTCATGTCTTTTGAATGGAAGAAAATGTTTCAACTAGAAAGGTTGAAACAAATATCAAATGTCTTTATCGCAGGTGGAAACATCGTTTCTGGAAGAGGTTACCTGATTGGTCTGTCTGGAAGAGGCTAGTCGACACGTCAATGGAAGACTAAAAATGCGCAATTTATTAAGTGAGTTCAGCATCGACAAGTCTATTTTTGATTTTTTTTAATAACTTTATTTAAGAATGACAATCAGCCGTCTTTTCGAAACAGGGTTACAAAACCAGATATCAATTTAGTTACTGTCTTCACCTCCTTTCTAAATAGACAGCTGTGTGAAACAACTGATCTGTTTGGGTCATAGTGGGATATATTTCGCTAACATATAAACTCAGAAATTGAAATCTCACGGTCGTAAAGAAATCTGTAATATACTGCCTGGATCAAATTTTCCAAATTGACTATCCAAAGGTTTACTTAGACGAAAGTCAGAATTGGCCAAGGGAATGTTAATATTGACAAAACGATGGAAGTTATATTAGGTTTTTAAGAAAATCTTTTGAATTACCCAATTCCCTGACGAAGACATGAACTCTATTGAAAGCGCTTTAAAGTAAATTACAGTTAGGCAAATGAGAGCTAAGTCTAGGGAACCCTGCAACGAGGCAAAGAAAATTCGCTAGAAAGAAGGTTAGAGCAGCAATACAACTAGTTTTGTATAAACAAAAGTACTATGAAAACCATAAAGCTGAATTCTTGTCTTTTCTTTTGATTCTGTCAACGATTCATTTAAAAGTACTGTCTTTAAGGAAGACAACTCTAAATGTCAGAAATGTCGAAACAGAAATCTCTTGATGTTTTCATATTACACTTCCCGGACTACACTGACTTAATTGTCGTCGAATTAAAGAATTACAAATATTGTCAGATTCTAAGTACCTATTCTACTTTTTCAGTACTAAAGTCGCGTGAGCAAGTAAGTCCTTCGTTGCACTCAAATTAGCAGGACTGGATAGCATTGTACCAGCTTTATTGCAGCATTCTCTTGGAAGCGTAATCTAGTGACAATTTTTGCGTTACGCTTACATAACAATTCTTAGCTTATATACCCTAAATATATGTTTACTTTGTCTATGATTATATACATCTCTTTTTATTTGTTTTATTTGTTATTTATTTTTTTAAATTGTAAAAACATAAAAATTAGTTTTCTCACCATATTTGAGCCAGGTTCTGCCTTTATTGACGTTGCTTGTGAAAAAGAGCATTGAAGCTGTACTGGTGTGATTGAGTGAAATGCACCTTGAGCATTTGAAAAAGTTGATGTCATTAACTGTGGTTGTGACTAAATAAAAAAAAAAAAATTTATATTTAGTGAATTGGTTTTCTTTAGAAATGTATAACTTATATATTTATTTAAAAACAAAGTAGTTTTTATTATTACCGATTTAAACGATGCTGAGCTACTAGCTTGGTCAGTGAGTGCCATTGGATTTGCTAAATTAGAAAATGATACTGGTTGATATAACATAGCAGCAGGATGAGTGCAGAAAAGTGATGGGTGAGGATACATTACACCAGCCATATAATGAAGTGGTAGAGCTTGCGTAGAAGTACTTGGCATATCAGATACATTTGAGTTGCTTTGTAAATGTGATGTGGTCGTTGGAATATAATATAGTGCGGGAAAGAAACCATGCTGAGATGTTAATCTATTTTGCGCAATAGTTTGGGATGTTCTTGATGACGTTAAACCAACAGAAAAAGGAGGCCATAAGTTAACTTTACGGTTACACAAAAACTCACTCGGGTACTGACTTGGATCGATTAAGGATGTTCCTAAAGAAGCTTGAAGATTTCCAAAAATTTTACTACTCGAAGAAGCCATATTGTGATGTTCTGTATAATCTTTCTGTATATCCATCAGGTTTGTAATTTGGTGTTTTGGTTTATTAGTTTCCCCTTCACAGGAATGAGACCCTACTCGTTTAATGCCATGTGCACTGTAGTCTAATGCCTTTTCGAAAACTTTTTTACTCATTCCGCCATAACGAACACGGGATTCACGATGTTTTTTTAGCATAAATTTTTCCATCTCATCGTTATGCTTATTTAATAATGATTCTGTAAGAGTCACAAGTTGGATACTAACTGACGAAGTTCCAGTACCTGCATTACTTGTATTTGTAACACTGCTCATGTGCACATTACTGCCTAATGTTAAATTAAGTGACGAACCACTTCCACCACTTTCCTCAAAACAGTTTATTGGACTTAGTGTACTACGTGTATCAGCTGATGTATTGAAAGATTGTTCCAGTTTTAGTGGTTCTATTTCTATAGGTGCAGTTACAGGTTTGCTGTTAAAAAAACGTTGCAGATTTTCATTGTAGTTTAATTGATTGTAACTCGGAGGAGTTTCTGTTGAACTCTTGCTATCGTAATAATCATGATGTGGTGAAATTTCTCCTAGCATAACGGAGTCCCTTTCCGAAACTGTTAGTTCATTCTCATGAGGTAGCTCTAATCTAAGATCATGGCGTGTAACTTCATCCATTAAAGTTTCCATAAATGAGGCCAAAGCTTGACAACGTCGGGAGACTTCTTGCTTAACTGTATCTGACGGTCTTGATACTGCCTCTGATAATAACTTCAGTATTTCATCCTTAATATGTAAATTACGGTTCCATGTTTCATCAGATAACTTCGGTTTGTTATTACCTGCTGCTGGTTCGAAAACATTAAATTTTTTTGGGCCTGTAATATACGAATAATTATGTAGGTAATTTGATTACTCAAAAATGACAAAGTGAACCTTGAAATACTCTATGATGTCCAATGACAAATTCTAGTTTTCTGGACCAAGGATTCACAAAACTGGACCATTCAGTTTCCAGTAAAACGTAACAGCCATTTTGTATTAAAAAACGATAAGGTTTGCTGCAAAATGATGCACCTGCAGTTTGACCCTTCTTCATAACTGTTTCATAAATTTCTTTTAAAAGAACTAGATCTTCATGATGATACAGATCTAAAACAGATCTACCAATGAGATCCTGCGGTAAATAGCCTAAAGCTGAAACAGCGGAATTATCAACATACAAAATAATTCCAGTAGACGTGTGTTTAATTGAAAATTTAGGGCTTCTATGCGACAAAATTTCATCTGCCACTGTGTAATATTCAAGAATCAGCACATATCCTAAATTATAAAAACTTTATGTACCTCTATAAGAACTTTTGATAGGTGTTGCACATATTACTAATAACATATTAGTTCCATTTGATGTAAGAATATTATCTGGGCGTGCATCTTCAGGAGCTTCTCGAAATGTTAATCCCAAACGAAAAGGTTCATAATTTATATGACGACCAATGACACCATATCCACCAGTTTTCAAATCACGATATCGACGTAACATTACACAAAATGTACTACGTGCATCTTTCGATACGTTGCAACGTGATTCTGCGATTGGAATGCCTGTTGTTATTTGACTAGCAAATGTTGATCTGTCCTTGGGATGAACAAAATCAATAAATGACCTACCTAACCACATGTCTCGTGGAAATCCTAGAACATCAGTTATGCTTGGTGTTGTATAAAGAACTATTCCATCGTGCATAGATATAACGCAACAAAAACTTTCCTAAAAATATTAAGTTAATGTAAATCTATGACATTTTTGTTATAACTTCAAAACGTAAATTTGTCAATTTATTTTCGGTATGACAATATATCATATATATATAGGATTTCGCTTTGGCAAAACTATTGGATTTTTTTGGTTTAATTCCGAGAACATATTATTAATGTATTTCTTTTTATAAAGAGGTTTCTTCGAACAGTAGTGAAATACAACAAAAATTATATTTTTTATATTATTTTAATTAATTGAATTTTTGGCTGACCATACAGCTGTTTCGAGTATTGCCAAATACCCATCATCAGTGGTCTTGAAAATTCTTGTATTTAATTATTCGTAAATAATTATTTTTGAGACTGCAAGTACCAGGAATCGAACTCGGGTCCTGCCAAATGTGAAGCTCAGAATCAGCGCACCTTAACCAACTGATCCAAAGCCGTACTTGACTTTTTTTTTTTGTTTTTTTCTTTGTTCGCATATTTTTCTGGAGTTTTGTTACTATTACTATGAAAGTTTTTTATTAATAATTTTACTTGCTTTGTTTATATTAGAACGAAATCATAAACCAGATATAGAATAATTGTATTTCGTTTTAAAAAAAATTATTTTGTCAAAATCATTGTATTTATTCTTTCAAAAAATTATATTTAACGAATTTATGTAATAGAAAATAAATGTTCACGTTTAATTAAAAATTAATAACTTTTTCAACAAAAATATTAGTTATTTTAGTTTTACGGCTAGGTTCTAGTGCAAAGCCCGGGATTTTATACACACCTCTCTCACTTTTTCCGTTTTTTCAGAACTCTCTAGTTTTCCTGGTGCTGACTCCCAAGTTTTTTCTGACTTGCTGCATTGTTGCACATTTTCTTTTAAAATTATAATATTTTATTCAAAATTAAAATTTCTGCAAATTTAAAAATTATTTTGTTTTATATTTACCAGAAAGAGAGGAAGGTGATGGAAACTGCAAAAACTTTTCTGATTTTGTTTGTTCGTCAGTTTCATTTTCGAAGTTTTCTTTATTATCGATCTGACGGCTGCATTGTGCTACGATTGGCAATAAGGTATAACATTAATAAATTAATTTGCAATGGAGTATGATTATTGATTACTAATTGCTTTCTCCGTCATTCCAATTTGATCATCATTTTGTTCATTTGGTTTTTGCCCTTCTTCGAGTACATTAGTATTGGGCTGCACAGAACACTTTAGTTTCTTCTTCTTTCTTGTCTTTTCCTTACCTCGTTTTATATGTAAGCTACTACTACTTAGAATTTATTACATATATAACTACATAAATTTCTTATTAATATACCTGCATGCTTGAGTAGACGGCTTACCACCATATCCACTACTGCCCCCAGAAGAATGACTGCCACTTAAACGAGATTTTGAACTTCCGCTAAAAAATTTAAAAGATTGAAAAAAATAACATTAGTTGAAGACAAACCTTCTATCAATTCGAATTTAAATTCTTTTATTTTAAAGAAAATAAAATAAGCGTGGAATGCACGCATTGTTTTAATATATCCATTTCGTAATTTCTAGCAATTACCTACTGCAGTATTTGGTCAAACTCTACTCAAATAAAATCACGAAGCCGTTATGTTATATATTTAGTATCAAATTTGTTTAAATTTGAACTTATGAATACCAGTTTTTCTCAGTGTTATCATCAAACTGGCAAGCGGATGTCTTGCCCTTTATTATATTTATTATGCCCTTATTATTTTATTATTCTATGCACTTATTATTTTATTATTCTCTTTGTGCCAGGGTGCACTGAGCTTAGTGTAATGTATATGCGTTAGTTATATTGGCAATGCATACAATTTGTTGAGAATGCTTTTATTCTCAAGTTTCTATCAATTTGTATTTGTATACCGGAATTCCACCAAGCACATGTAACTTGTTGGACGGTATATTTGTATATTTTTTATATTCGTGAAGATACCACCGAGCACATAAACCCGTTGGTAATTTTATGAAAAGAAGATAAGTTCTATTCAAATTTGTATCATCGAATACACTTTATTAAAAGAATTGATTTATTTATATACATTTTTCTTATAATAATTACTTACTAAAACTTATTACGTACAATAATTTACTGACCCAATTTAAAACAATAATTAATATCAAGCAAAAAATATTACTTATAATGACACATAAAATATTTAGCAAAACAATGAGTAATTAATAGCAAGCAAATTACATAAAATATTTAGCAAAACAATGAATAATAACTTACTTAAAATGTGTTCTTGCCCTAGTTATAAAATAAACACTAATCAGCAAAAATATAACCTATTAATGTATTACGATTACGTTAAATGCATTTTAGCATGGGTCAGCAAAAGACAAAATAAATTATTAATGTAATACTTAACATATCCTCCCCGCGTTGAATTTTAATTCAACTTAGAGTGGTGTCATCTTTATGTTGTTGTGATATCAAATGTTGACCTTGATCTTGGAAGCGGCTGAGGTGTCTGAACATTCGGTTGACCTTGCGTCTGATTGTTTCGTATTAGTTTAGTTTTTTTTAAGATGATGATTCCAATAATCAAAAACAAGGCTGCGTACCCCACTGACAAGCTATGCTTTTCAGTTTGCTGTACCTTTGATGATAGTTCAGGTAATGTATCCTTCGTTAGTTGTTTTTGCAGAATTGTTAGTTCTCTTAATTGTGGAAGATATTCAATTTCAGAATTATTTATCCGCTTAGATGGCTTAATTTTAGGTGTTGAAATTCCTATGCTCGTATATGCTGATTTGAGCAGACTTGTTATGACTTGGTGTCCTTGAATAAGAACCGTGTTGTCTCTGATGACACAATTTGATGCAATTTTTACCATGCCGGTACTATTTAGTATCACTGGAAATGCATTCGAACCGCATACTGCATTGAGTTGCATCGGATATTTGGTAGCGTATATCCAGTGATTTTTGTGTTTCAGCTGAATCCAAATGGTAGTTTCCTTTAATTCAACTATTTCGCATTCGTCACCTGTTCCATTATTGTACAAATTGATTTCACACTTGCACACATTTGCTCCACGACGATAAATAGATTGAACATTTGAGCAAAGGTATGAGTCCTCTTCAGTTGTAATACACGATTGCAGTGCTAATTTTGTTATGGGGAAGTATTCATCCTTGTGAGAATTGATAGCCAGATATTCTGTTGATGGCTTTATTGACGTTAATACCTTGGTCGCGCTAGAGATCACAGGCACTACATGAAATATTTCAAAGGTTTTTCGTTCAACGAGTGGTATCATAATATTGAATATTACATGGTCACTTGATACCTGCCCAGTTACTTGCATCAGCTTATAAAGAGTTAATATATCATCTTGTTCTACTGGAAATTGTAAATGAGACGGTAAATGTGCTCGGATTTTTTCTCCTTCCGTTATTAACTGTTGCGGCGTAATTAGAAGCGGGTTAATTTTTTCGTGATGACTATCAATGAGAACATCCATGATTGTGGATTGCGTACGTTGCAAATTTATCGTGGCGATTGTCATTTGGATGGTCAGCATGTTAATAATATTGCCATATAATTGGTCATGTTCGTCCTTAACTAACCTTTTGGAGATCGCGTTTAATTGAGTCTCAATGTCCTGGAAATTATTTTTGAGACTTATCTGGTTTTTTTTTATAACGTTAATTGTGGAGTCAATTATTGATATTTGATTTTTGAGCAGATGTTTGAGTTTGTCATCATGATCTTCTAGGGTTTTGATCGTCTTCGACATGTCACTTGCATAATTGGAATCGAGTACTCCAAACAGGGAACTTGCTATATTCCCAACTAAATCGATTGCCCCTCTCTTATTTCGGGCGCTTGACATAAATTCAAATGCTGTTCTCAATTCACTTTCTGCTTGCTGGAAATGATGAACCACAAACTTGCATGTTGAATTTAAGTTGCTTTGATCACATAGCTTCAAAAGATTCAACGTTGAATCCTTTAGTATGTCCAGCTCTGTATTAAATGGAGCTAAATCGTAATAGATTATCATTTTCCAGTGGGATGTTATCAATTTTGTTGTTCCTACTTGTTCAAAATGTATGCCAGGAGCGGAGCGAAGTTCAGTTACGTTTACTGGTGAACAAAGAACAATCGGGAGTAAAAGTAGAGATATCAGTACTGTAGTTAATTTTATATTGGAGGACACACGTCTTTGTTTTCGTGGGACTATCTCATTGTCCATTCGTTCTTCTTTGTTGTGGCGATTCTCCTGTGTTTTAATAGGTTTGTTTTCAGGAAATAAGGGTGCTAGTTTGTGAATTGGTCGCTTTAACATGCCTGTTGCGGTTTTGACATCTACGACTCGTATAAATCCATCATTACCCTTATATGTCTTCATTATTCGCCCTAAAGGCCATTGCAAAGGATGTACATTATCTTCTTTAAGGATCACCAGTGTATTTTCTTCAATGTTTTTGCATTCTTCACGCCACTTGTTTCGAACCTGTAGTTCCATTAGGTACTCTGCCCGCCATCTTTTCCAAAACTCTTGTTTTAAGTGTGCAACCAGATTCCATCTACTCAAAAGAGATGATTTTACCTTTTCACATGTTGCGTCTACGGGTGCTGTTAGTGCATCACCAACTAAGAAATGACCTGGTGTGAGAGCCTGCAAATCATTTGGATTAGACGACATTGGTGTTAAAGGTCGTGAGTTTAAAATAGCTTCTATTTCTATAATGACGGTTTCGAGTTCCTAGTACGTTAACGTTTCAGTTGAAACGCTTCGGACCAATAGGTACTTTGCTGATTTAACCGCTGCTTCCCATAGTCCACCAAAATGAGGTGCACGAGGAGGGATGAAGTGAAATGCTATTCCTTTGTTGCTGCAAGTTTTTGTTATTTGTTCCTGAGCTACATTGTTGTTGTTAATTCCTGCAACTTGTTAGAGGCACCGACAAAATTCGTTGCATTGTCACAGTATATATTTTTTCAGCATCCGCGTCGTGCGATAAAACGTTTTAATGATCCGATAAATGCTTCTGTTGTCAAGTCGCTTACCAGTTCCAAGTGTACTGCCTTTGTCGCAAAACAACAATAAACTGCTAGGTATGCCTTATGCGGACGTTTTCCTCTTACCTTATAATGCACCCAAAAAGGCCCACAGAAGTCAACTCCGGTATTAAAAAATGGCCTGTTTGGCTGTACTCGATGCCTTGGTAAACTTCCCATGACTTGTTCAAAAGTAATTGGTTTACATCTAGTACAACGAACGCAATGGTGAATAGTTGATCTTGCCATAATTTTACCCTTGATCGGCCAAAATTTTTGTCTCGCTGCTGCCAGCAGTGCATGACCGCCGCAGTGCATATTTCGTTCATGTATGTCTTCCATTATCAGTTTTACAATAGGGTTATTGTATGGAAGGACTATCTGATGCTTTTCATCATATGTAAGTGATGATGCTTCTAACCTTCCCCCCACGCAAATTATCTTGTGTTCATCTAAAAATGGCATCAGTCCAGCAAGTGTACTTGCAGGTTTTACTGTTTGGTTGCGTTCTAACTGATTTAATTCTTCTTTTAGTTCTGACTGTTGTATGTACTTCACTATATGCCTGAGTGACAGCTCCAGTTCCATAGGGCTTAGAGCCATAGTGATATTGCTTAAATTGGTTCGCCTTGCCCGATTTACAAATCGCAGCATATATCCCACCGTATGTAGTAGAGTTCTAAATGAATTCCTGTGATTGATTCTATCGATCCAATGGATATCGTAATCAGTTGAGATTAAGGCCACTTCCCTTGTCGTTTGTTTCCATTCAGGATTCACCGGATCAATACAGAGAGTTTTATTGAATTCGCCAGGCCAGTTGCTTTCGGAACCATGAAGAAAGAGTGGACCGTATAACCACAAGTTATTTTCGAGTAATTGAGCTGGCTTGATACCCCGTGATAATGAGTCAGCTGGTTTATCCTTAGATCTTACGTGACGCCATTGATTAGGCAAGCTAATTTCTTGAATTGCATTGATTCTATTTGCTATGAACTGTTGATGCCTTGCTGATGAAGAGTTGATCCAGAAGAGAACGATTTCTGAATCAGTCCAATAATATGTTGCTACATCATGATTTATATTGTTCTTAACCTTTTTCATCAATGTCGCTCCTAATAGAGCTGAACACAGTTCTAACCTTGGAGTCGTTTGTTTTTTGAGTGGAGCAACACGAGACTTGGAACACAACAATCGATTTATTAGTCGACCATCCATTAGTTTCGCTCGAACGTAAACTGCGGCTCCGTATGCCTTTTGTGAAGCATCACAAAATACGTGCAATTGTATTGATTCAAGTGCTGGCATCTGTTTTCCGAATATATGACGATCTATTTTAAATTGATCTAGTACTTGTAGATAGTCATAAAAGGTAGTCCACCTAGTGTATATTTCGGCTGGTACTGCTTCGTCCCATGTTAATTGTAGTTGCCATAGGTCCTGAATTAGTATTTTTGCTGTTACGAGTACTGGACCTAGTAGTCCCAATGGGTCGAAAATTTTGGTTAGGTTCGAAGTAATGGTTCTTTTAGTAATGATTTTTAATGGATCTAGTTTTAATTTTATGCGAAATTGATCTTCTTTTGGTTGCCAAGTCAATCCTAATGTTTTGATTGATGTTGCGTCGTCACTTTGAAAGTCCAAATCAACTTCTTGATCTTCTTTTGCAATATTTTGAAGAAGTGACGGATGGTTGGCACACCATTTACGTAGCTTGAATCCTGCTGATTCCAACAAACCTTTTAACTGAGTTTGTATATCTTTGGCAGTTTGGAGACTATTTGATCCACTTAGGCAATCATCTACGTAGAAGTCATTACTTAGTGCTGCTGCACCTAGTGGATATTTTTGCAACTTAGATTTCGCCAACTGTTGTAAGCATTTAGTAGCCAGATATGGGGCTGATCGTGTTCCATAGGTGACTGTTTTTAATCGATAAAATTGTAAGGGTTCGTTATTATTGCTTCTCCAGACTATTAATTGATATGTTTTATCTTCGGGCTGAATAATGATTTGTCTGTACATTTTTTGAATGTCAGAACAAAAGACAAATCTTGGGCACCTGAATCGAAGTAAAATCGCAAACAATTCCTCTTGAATTGTAGGGCCAGTAAACATTGTATCATTTAACGATAGTCCACTACTCGTCTTGCACGATGCATCAAATACCACTCTTAATTTCGTGGTGCTGCTATCGGGCCGTAAAACGCCATGATGTGGGATGACATAATGAGGATTAACTTGGTTGATGTCAACCCTTTCCATGTGTCCGAGATCAGCATATTCATTCATGAACTGTACATACTGTGTTTTGAGTATTACATCCTTATCGAGTCTTCTTTCCAACGCTAAAAACCTGTTAATGGCAATGTGTTTTGACTCACCAAGCAACGATGGATCTTGCTTGAAGGGTAATCTGACACTGAATCGACCGTCTTGATTCCTTTTCATATAAGTTGCAAAATGAGACTCGCACAAAAAACTAACAAGGAACTAGGTACCAGTTCCGAAGACGAGCTCCTGGCATCAAGCCAAGAAAACGAGCGAGTCGAAACCGCCATACTACCCAAAGTAGGCAGTAGCAGCCGCACTGCGCCTACTTCTCACATAACAGTAAAATCGGCAGACAAGCGCGCCAGCCATAGTGCGCCTGCCGAGAAATCAAAAAAGTCTGAGGCAAAGATCAGACGTCAAAGGTACCAGAAGGCCATGTTCATTCTTGGCAAGATTGCTAAAAATGAAGCTGAAGGTAAAGAACAGACGTTTGACCGTACAGACAAAGTACGATATCAGAAGGTGGTCGATGAGTATAACGAATACCAGGCCACCCTATCAAAACCCGCAAAGGCAATGAAGAGGGATCGGTCTCAGGACGAGACGGCCCATACTTCAAAAAGCAAGGTAGCGAGAACGAGTTATACTAGTAAACCGTCAACGAGTGCGAAAAGGGCATATAACGAAGTAGCAAGGGATGAGCTACAGGTGGCGCTCATTGATGATATTACCGGGAATGGAAAAAAGGTGCTGGAGAAATGGGACGAGATTGAGCCCAAGCTGGCTGAAATGGTGATGGAACACCTTCTAACAAATCTAGACGCCCCCACACCAGGCTTTGATTCATCAGAAGTGGTTCGTGGTTGCAGGGTCTTCAAATGTGATGACCAGCTATCTAAAGTATTTCTTGGCAACTGCATTGCTAAGGTAAGTGATGCATGGGAAGGTTTAAGGCTAAAGCTTATCCCAGCCAACGATATCCCAAGAAGACCAAGGGCCCGCATTTGGCTGCCAATTATGAAGATGGAGCATGAGAAAGTTCTCCAGCTGCTACAACGGCAGAACCAAAATGTGCCAATGAATGACTGGGTAGTCATCAAGGACGAGGGCACACAAAAAAACAATATGACGCTTCTTCTGGCGATAAACGAGGAATCCGTGAAGCCATTGGAAGAAATGGACTGTAAGCTGAGGTTTGGCGTACGGTACACCAAAATAAAAATATTCCGCCCAACAGGCAATGATGATGATGGCAAGGAGTTAGAGGATGCTAACAAAATGCTTGACGGTATGAAGCTTCAGGAAGAAGCTTCAGAAACCTCGTAAGCCTGCACGAATGCTGAAAGTAGCACAAATTAACCTTCAGCATTCGAAAATCGCATCGGACAATCTCGCCATCTTTCTCATAGAGGAGGATGTCGATGTCAGCATTGTGCAAGAGCCATGGGTCAGAGGTAAGGACATCATGGGGCTAATGCTGAAAAATTATAACAATTTATATATTAGGAACAATGGTAAGCCAAGATCATGTATCCTAGTAAAAAAATGTATTAATGCCTTTTTATGTCCACAGTATAGCGATAAAGATCTAACAGTCGTAAGGATCGAAATGCCAGGTGGACAAAATTTTATTGTGGCTTCTGCTTACATGGCACATGATAGAGATGCTCCTCCGGAAGAGGTAGTCGCGCTAGTAAACAGAAGTACATCAAAAGATATTCCCACGTTAATTGGATGTGACGCCAATGCGCGGCATACGCTTTGGGGCAGTTCGGAAACCAATGACAGGGGTGAGTACCTTTTTGATTTTATTAGCAATTCGAACCTTTTAATTTGCATTAGAAGTAAAACACCTACTTTCACTTTCCCCAGTTCACAAGGGTTTGAAGGATGGGAAGAAGTGCTAGATATAACACTCCTATCCGAAAATCCAGATATTGTAGTTAGTAATTGGAAGGTATCTGACAAGAAATCCTTTTCGGATCATAGTTGGATTCTCTTCAACTTAAACATTAAACCAAATCATACCATCCCCTTTAGAAACCCGAAGAAGATAAAATGGGATATTTTTACAAGGGTAACTAAGGTGGAACTTAATAAAGTAAGACAAATTAAGATAGATTCTACTAGTAAGTTAGACAAGAGGATATATAATCTTGAGGCAGCTTTTAATATAGCTTACAAGAAATCTTGTCCAACAAGAAGAAGCAAAAAATCTTTTCCACCTTGGTGGAATTCAGAATTAAGTGATCTCAGGCAGAGAACACGAAAACAGTTTAACGAAAGCTATAAGGACAATAGTTGGCATGAATATAGGGAATGTCTTAAAACTTACAAGAAAGCTATCAGGAAGGCCAAAAGTAATGGCTGAAAGGAATTTTGTAAGTCAATTGAATCAACCTCATCCTCTGCTAGGCTCAGCAAGGTTTTATCCAAGGAAAGTGCAAATCCTTCTTATCTCAAGAAAGAGGACGGCACATGGACTGAAACCTCTGCTGAGACACTAAGATTACTATTAGACACTCATTTCCCAAACTGTAACGATGATGCTAGAGAAAACGGTTCAATCACCTTGGCAAGCACATCATCACAGATGACTGAAGAAATAGTCACAGCGGAAAAAATTAGGTATTCAATTAACAGTTTCTGTCCCTATAAATCGCCAGGTCTGGACGGTATTTTCCCTATTATGTTGCAAAAACTACAAGACTTAGTGGTTCCATGGTTAGGGGAAATTTACAAAGCATGTCTTAAATATAGTTATGTACCACTTAGTTGGAGACAGGTTAAAGTAGTCTTTATACCCAAGGCAGGCAAAATCGGACATGAGTCCGCCAAAGATTACAGGCCGATTAGCCTAACTTCATTCTTACTAAAAACAATGGAGAGGGTAATAGAGCTCCACCTAAGACAAAAGGTAGAACGCTTTCCAATCTCTAAATCCCAGCATGCTTACCTCAAGGGTAGATCTACGGAAACAGCTCTGCATGAGGTTATTCGTACTGTGGAAAAATCGATTCATTTTAAGCAATACTCTTTGGCAACCTTCTTAGATATTGAAGGAGCTTTTAACAATGTAAGCAATAAAGCTATTCATGACTCTCTTTCCAGAATAGGTTTAGAGGAAGAGCTTAAAAATTGGATAGTTACTATGCTTAAAACTAGGATTATTCAATCAAAGCTAGGCAGCATAACACAAACGAAGCACGTCAGCAGGGGTACGCCACAAGGAGGGGTTATTTCACCATTACTGTGGCTGCTGGTCGTGGATAATATTCTTAATATTCTAGATAAGATAGGTGTGAAAGCAGTAGCGTACGCGGATGACGTGGTTATTCTAGTGTCAGGTATGTTCCCTAACATAATTAGCGACATTATGGAAAGGGCCTTGGTTAAGATAAGTACCTGGGCCACAGGTTGTGGACTAGGTATTAACCCAGGAAAAACTGAAATGATGCTGTTTACTACTAAAACCAAAATACCAGCTTTCAGGTTGCCTTCACTAAACGGGCAACAGTTAAAACTATCGGAAAAAGCCAAACATCTAGGAATTCTGTTGGATAGTAAGTTAAACTGGAAACACAATGTCGATCTTCGTATCAAGAAGGCATGTGTAGCTTTCTATTCTTGCAAGAGGATGTTTGGCAAAAAATGGGGGATTCGTCCCGAAATTACCCACTGGATGTACACGGCAATTGTACGACCAATTCTCACATATGGTGCTGTCGTATGGTGGCCGGCTCTAAACAAGAGCTATAATATCGGCAAACTTAACAGAATTCAGAGGACGGCATGTGTAGGCATCACAGGAGCTTTTAGGACGACTCCTTCGGACGCCCTAAACGTGATGCTGCATTTGCTACCTATTGATCTTCACATTAAAAACATGGTTTGTAATAGCGCTGTAAGACTGAAAGTAACAGGCGTATGGTTAGAACGAACATATGGACATAGTCGGATTCTAGGTACAGTTCCAAATTGTCTGTATAGGATGACATCGGATTATCTGAATCCGTGTATAGACTTCGAAAGGAACTTCCAGACAATATTCCCTTCAAGAAATGAGTGGAAAAGGAAAAATTTCGAAGCAAATTACGATATCTCAATATATACAGATGGCTCGAAAATGAGCTGTGGGGCAGGAGCAGGAATCTTCGCACCATCTAAAAATATAAATATCTCTCTTAGGATACCTAATGAAGCTACGATTTTTCAGGCTGAAATTCTAGCAATAAAAGAAGCCTGTCGGCAAATTGCAAGCCACATCGAGAACAGATGTAGTGTTGCTATTTTTATTGACAGCCAGGCAGCAATTAAAGCTCTTGAATCCTTTATAACGAAATCAAAAATAGTAAAAGAATGTAGAGAAGCAATCGACGAGCTAAACCGGTTGGCCGATATCACACTCATCTGGGTTCCTGGGCATAGGAACATCGTAGGGAATGAGAAAGCTGATAGTTTAGCCCGCTCTGGTGCCTCCCTAAATGCGTCACTGGCGGTATCAGTCTATATTACCCTGGAGACCATCAAAAGAAGTACCTTTCTTTACTTTCTGCAACTCGCCAATAACAGATGGAAAGCACTAAGGTCATGTGCAACTTCCAGGTTAACGTGGCCCACTTATAATAAAAATAAATCTCTGGAACTCATCAAAAAAGATCGCGTAAACACTGCAAGGCTTATCGCGGTTCTTACTGGTCATTGGTGGTTAGGAACTCACGCAGAGAAACTGCGTACTCCCCATAACTCTCACTGCAGAAGTTGTGGAAACCCGCGGGAGAAAGAAACAATAATACATTTTCTCTGTGAATGCCCAGCTCTAGCATCCAGAAGATATAGGTTCTTAGGAAAATACTTTTGTGATAGTTTATCAGACTGCTCAATGGTAAGGATGAAAGACCTGTTAAATTACCTAAATTCGGTGGGATGGATTTAGTTTCTACTCTTCTATACTAGGGTTCTTGCGAGGAATGTGGTAACAAAACGGCGAAAAATCGCTAATTGAGGTACATTTGAAGTTATCTTATGACCTGCCACTGCAACCAACCAACCGAGACTCGCACAACTCTTCGGAAGGAGATAGATTTTTGTTTGCCTTTTCTGGTTCATCTAGTTGCCAGAACCGCTCGATAACCTTCATCGTATCTTGCTCATCTTCAGAGCATATTCCACAAACTTGTGGTGAAATAATTGAATTTTGGTTAGATATTTTTCCCACCACAAGCCACCCAAGCAATGTATTCTGTAGGATGGGGAGACCTCTGCCAAGGTTTATTTGGCCGATGGACAATAGTTGATGAGAAAACTCGGCTCCAAGTAGGAGATCGATTTTGTTTGGGGTATTGAACGACGGATCTGCCAGATTGATGTTCTGTGGTATTTTCCAGCTTGAGCTTTCAATATGAATGCTCGGCTGGTCACACACAATCTTAGGTAATACATAAGCCTCTATTCGGCTGCTAAATCCGTTAATTCTGGACGAGAAAGCTAAATTGATTCGTTGTTGCGCATCTTGTTTTTTTTGCCCCACACCTTCTATACATGCTGAGGTCTTTTTCGGGTTTTCACCTAACTTCTTAATTATTTGATCGGTTATCAGGTTGACTTGGGAGCCGGAATCCAATAATGCTCTGCACTCAATTTCTCTTCCATTGTTGCCTTTAACGACAACACGTGCAGTTCCTAATACCACATAATTTTTTTGGATGTTGAGATTGTTGGAGAACAGAGAAGCAGGATTTTTTGATATGGATGCCTTCTTAATCATAGATGCTTCAAATGTGCCTTCTAAATGCAGCAAGGTGTTGTGTTTCTTCTTGCATTTTAAGCAACTGCCTGATGTGCAGTCTTTTGTGAAGTGACCATTTTTTAGACAATTGAAACATCGTTGCAATGATTTTATGAGATGTAGCCTCTTAGCTGGGGTGTCATCCAGGAACTGCTTGCATAGATGAATTGGATGATTATCTCTCTTGCATATTGGACATTTAACTGGTGCAGTGTTAGTTGTAGCCACTGTCTTAACCCATTTTTTGATTGATGCGCTATTATTTATTGTTTCTAGCGATTGGAACCTTTGTTCAATAAATTGAAATAGTTCCTTCATAGTGATCAGCTCTCGATTGTTTGATAATGACTGCTCAAATGCTGTTTGTGTGATCTTGTCTAATTTCTTCAACGTCATATGAACAATTATGATGTCCCAATGTTCGACTGGAATGTGCTGCGCCTTAAGTCCCAATAAACACTCTTGTGAAATATCATGCAATGTTTTAAGGCCAGAAGCGGTTTCAGTTGTCATTGCTGGTAATGCGAATAATTTGTTTAACAATGCGGTAACTAATAATCTACCATTATTGTATCTAGCCTTCAGAATCTCCCATGCGGTAATGTAGTTCTCAGCTGATGCTGGGAAATGCTTTATCAGGTTTTTGGGCTCACCAATCAAGTTAGTTGTTAAGTAGAACATCTTTTGGATAGGTTTGAATGGTTGTTCGTCTATAAGTTGTGTAAACAGGTCTCGAAACTCTACCCACTTCAGCTGGTTTCCGTCAAATGTTGGAATCGTTGGTAATTGTAATTGTAAATGTTGGTAATTTAACTGCCTGAATTGTGTTGGTAGTGAGAATTGGATGATTTTAGCTTGAGTTTCAAACAAATCTCCATGTCTTGGAGTTTTTGACTAATTTCATAATACAATTCCCAGGAGTATCCTTCAATGAATTCTTCTGATGTAGAATTCCATATTTTTTCATTGTTGTTATCGAATGCTTTGTGATAACCTTCTATCAAAGCAAGCTTGCAAGAATAAAAAACTTCATTTTGAGATTCTTGGCTTGCCATTTCAATTTCTTGACTGGATCTGTCAATGACATTTATGAGTGCTCGTTGATTACGTAACACTCGTGATAATTCTTCATTTTGTTGAAGCTGCATTGGATTTTGATTGTATTGCCTTGGCGGCTTTTCCTGAGCATTTTCTACCTCTTGCATTTCGATTAATGCCTTGTTAAAAATACCCAAGTATTTGTTTGTCAATTCAGTCATTTTTTCATAGTAGCCCGTGGTGAAATACTCGTCTTCTGTATCTTCAGCCATAGCTTTACAAGATAATAACGTGTTGTGGTTCTTCTCTAACCTTGACCATTGTTCAGTTAACCGTAGAATTCTATCCTGATAATAGCGATTCGTCTTCCTTGAGACTGGATCCTTCTTGAAGTTGCTGATTATCCTCTCGATCTCAGCTCCTATAGCTTGTTGTTGATCAATAAGTGTGTCGAAATGCTCCATGATAACACCGTTCCTATTTATTGTCCTTATAGGAAAATTACGTCGGAGTCACCAAAATATGTTGAGAATGCTTTTATTCTCAAGTTTCTATCAATTTGTATTTGTATACCGGAATTCCACCAAGCACATGTAACTTGTTGGACGGTATATTTGTATATTTTTTATATTCGTGAAGATACCACCGAGCACATAAACCCGTTGGTAATTTTATGAAAAGAAGATAAGTTCTATTCAAATTTGTATCATCGAATACACTTTATTAAAAGAATTGATTTATTTATATACATTTTTCTTATAATAATTACTTACTAAAACTTATTACGTACAATAATTTACTGACCCAATTTAAAACACTAATTATTATCAAGCAAAAAATATTACTTATAATGACACATAAAATATTCAGCAAAACAATAAATTATTAATAGCAAGCAAATTACATATAATATTTAGCAAAACAATGAGTAAATAACTTACTTAAAATGTGTTCTTGCCCTAGTTATAAAATAAACACTAATCAGCAAAAATATAACCTATTAATGTATTACGATTACGTTAAATGCATTTTAGCATGGGTCAGCAAAAGACAAAATAAATGTAATACTTAACACAATTAATATAATAATAAGTGGTTCTATATTTAAATGCGCAGTGTATATAAAAATACACTAATTGTTTCCAAGCGCATTGCATTGTTTACAAACAAATGCACAATTCCACACAAGGAATTTGACACCACACATATCGGCGGCACTTTGCCTTCGATAGAACCATATGCTTGCCAGGCATTGACCGCATATACAACAACATCAACAGTAAGCGTACTCGATATAAGTGGAATCGAAGACGCTTACTTAGCAATAAATTATTAAATATTAAAGTACTTACGCTGCGTCGTGTTGTACATAAATAAAAATACATATTAATATAAATAATACTAAAATACATATATAATTGTTAAAAATATTTAGTAAATAAGAAAGTACATACGCTGCATCGTTATGTACCTAGGTTAAGTCGAAAGTGAAAAACTAAATAAAAATCAGAACTAGAAGTGCACTCATAAGAAGCGCACTAGGTTCCGAACAGCAAAACTTTCTTTGATTTTTAAATAAAATAAAATTAATGTTAGCAAAAGGATCGCCAAACAATATCGGCGTTTAAACATCCTTTGCAGAACTAAACATTATTGCAAAACTAAACATCAGTAATTTGCAAACATTACATTAGCTCATGCCTTTTTCCAGACATATAAGAAACATATGAACTACATCAAAACAGATAGAGAAACACAGCTTTAGCTCAATACTTGACATAAACAAATCATATTACGAACTTTGACAATAACAATACTGTTTGAGATTTGGCACACCAACTAGGCGATATGGCAGCAAACATTTAGTAGTTTTTGACGATGGCATCCTAACATCTGGCAGCGATAATTTTGGCTTCGTTTTTTTACTTTTTCTTTCTCCTTCTTCTTTACTTGACTGGCATGGAGTGTGCACGTTTATTTGGCTTGGCGAGATATAAATTATTCTAGTCTAATTTTTTTCTAAATTGAATAAATAAATAAACATTTTGCGTGTGTGTAAAATAATCGTGTTTGTTTTTCATACATTTGTTGGTGCCGAAACCCGGGAGTTTCGGTTTTTATTTAAAATTAAATTGCGTTTTTGGCTTTTTTGGCGTTTTTATACGAAGAAAATATGGCTGCCCTAAATAGGCGTACGGCTGCGTGGTCATCATTAAAGCGGGTAGCTGCCAAAATAGTGGCGGATGACTACGTTGAGGATGGCTTTGGTATGCAGCAAGATCGTGCAACATTGCAGGCACACTTCGAAAAACTACAAACTGCACATGGTGAGTTGGTGGCTTTGGCAAGAGATGATACTGAATTATGGTCTCACATCAAGTTGTGGGACGAGGTGGAAGACTTATATAACGAGGCGTGCGTTGCATTGCGGCGTGAGTTGGCCCGTTGTGATGCACAAAATACGGATGCACCTTCCAATATGGCAGGCGGTGCTGTATCTTCCCAAGGCTTGGCAATTAAATTGGAACGATTGGCGGTACCCAAGTTTGATGGCACGATGCGCAATTGGCTGGCATTTAAGGACACATTCGAGACATTGGTACATTCGCAAGAGTTTCCAGAGGCATACAAGCTTGGCAAACTGCGAGAGGCAGTCCATGGTGATGCAGTGGCACTTGTCGGAGGCATGTACAGTGGCGGGTACGATGAGGTATGGGCTGCACTGAAGGCTCGGTACGACAATCCGAAACAGTTGGCTGAAATACACGTGGCTAGGCTAATTGGCTTCAACCCACCACAGGCTGAGTCAACATCTGCGTTGCTCTCGGTGGTTGATACAGTGCGAGAGTCCTTGCGAGCACTTGTAGTAATGAACCTACCTGTGGATCAATGGGATGCATTGGCGGTACCCATTATAGTGGCCAAGTTACCAACAATTACGCAACAGGCATGGGGCATGAGCCGCACAACTAATCAAATTCCTCCTTTGGCAGATTTGCTTGCATTTTTGGAGACACGAGCTCACAGTCTAGTTGGCACTGTTTGGCGAGAAATGGAGAGCAAACCAAAATCTGATGGCAAGACCGCTACACTACAATATCGTGACACATCTCAGGCTGATTATAAAAGGCCAGGCTCACGTCTAATGAGGACAAACCTAATAGCAACTACTTCAGGCCACTGCCAGTTTTGCAATGACGCATCGCACCAAATAGGCAAGTGCACCAGGCTATTGGCTTGCTCACCAGCGGAGCGCTTCACACTGCTTAAAGGCTCGAATCTTTGCTTCAATTGCTTGAAACCTGGACATTCTACTAAGGCATGTGGCTCAACTAATTGTCGCATATGCAATGGCAGGCATCACACTCTACTATGCCGAAGTTCACCAGCGCAAACTCCTCCTTTGCAAGAGTCCAAACAGCAGGCACAAACTACACCTCAGGCACCAGCGAAATCGAACCAGGCTGGCATCCCACCACGTGTGCATCAGTGACTACACCATCCAATGCAGACATTCGCTACTATAGGCAATCGGGTTATACTCTTGGCAACAGCACAAATACGCATCTTAAATGGCTTTGGCGATATCGACTCGTGTCGAGCTATATGCGATCCAGGCTCTCAGGTAAGTCTAATGAGTACGCGATATTTTAATCAACTGGCTCTGCGGAAGCAGAAAAGTGCATTGCAATTACAAGGCGTTGGCAGTGGCAATCGTTCATATACTAATGGCCGGGCAGTCTTGCGCATATTTTCGACTGTCAATGCTTTATTTGGCTTGGATGTTGAATTCTACATCATCAACAAAATTACCTCAGCAATCCCTGTGGCTCCAATCATGGAAAACTGTTAGCAGCATTTACGCAATTTGCCCTTGGCAGACCCGAAATTTGGCGAAACTGGTGTTATAGATGCATTGCTTGGCTCAGACGTATGGGGCCAATTGTTGGCAGATGGCATAGTTCGTGGCGAGCTTGATGATCCTGTGGCACAAAATACGCAATTAGGCTGGGTTGTATTCGGACCAGCCGAAGCAACCATGCATAATTACAAGGCGGAACAATCTATGGCATTGCGTGTGGAGGCGCCTGATGAGCGAGTTGATGACCTTCTACACAGGCTATTTGAATCCAAAGAAATTGGCATGGCTAAAGGCGATACACTAGCAGCAGTTGATCTTTGCGAGTGCATTTTCATGAGCACACATAAGCGTTTTGATGATGGCAGTTATTGTGTACAAATACCATTTACACCAGATGCTCCACCACTTGGCAATTCACATCAGATGGCACTCAGGCAATTTCACCAGTTGGAACGAAAATTGGCATCCAACTCAGAGCTGAGACAAAGATATGTGGCTTTTATGCGCGAATACGAACAACTTGGTCACATGCACCCTATTCAGCATAATTCAGGCGACCCATCTCAGGCATACTACATTCCACATCATGCAGTCATGGCAAAATTCCGAGTCGTATTCAATGCTTCCGCAAAAACATCGAATGGCATATCATTGAATGATACACAACTCGCTGGCCCCCCAATACAGGATTTATTACTTAACCTTTTGCTTCGCTTCAGGCAGCATCGAATAGCATTCACAGCTGATGTGGAGAAAATGTTCAGGCAAGTCAAGGTTGACGAGAGGCACAGGCAGTGGCAACAGATCCTCTGGCGGGAATCATCCGCTCAGCCCATTCGCACATATCAATTGGCTACCGTTACATATGGCACAACTAGTGGCACATATTTGGCTGTTCGCGCTATGCAGCAATGTGGCAGAGACAACTCTTATAAACTCTCAGATGAAGTACGAGCTAAAACTGCTTTGCACAGCATCCTGAATGATTTCTACGTAGATGACTACCTTAAGAGTACACCTTCTATTGGCATGGCGATTCAACTGGCGGCCGATGTCTCATCTGTTTTGGCAGACGGTCAATTCCATCTCAGGAAATGGAAATCGAATAGCGCTGAAGTCTTGGCACATCTTCTTGGCGATGCTGATCCATGTCAGCTTAATCCGCACTTGGCAGAAACTACTGTTCTAGGCTTACACTGGGATCCACTCACTGATGAACTTTTCTATCAGGTTAGCTCTTATGATGCACAACATCTTACGAAAAGGCAAGTGCTTAGCGATGCCGCAAAATTATATGATCCAATTGGCATGTTGGCACCAGTCATCATTACGGCTAAACTTTTCATACAGAAGCTCTGGCAGGCAAAATTGGCATTGGATGACCCATTACCACTTGAACTGTTCGGAACTGTCACATACCGAAGGCAGCTGTCCCAACTGGAGGCAGTGCGAATACCGCGTTGGATAGGCATGCAACCCGGATATCAAATACAACTTCACGGCTTCTGCGATGCTAGTGTCAAGGCAATGGCTGCAGCACTCTATTTGGCAACAAACCACAATGGCAGTATCACTAGTCACATTATCGCATCAAAAACTAAAGTGGCACCATTACATTCGGTAACAGTACCCCGATTGGAACTTTGTGCTGCGCAATTGTTGGCTACTCTTTTACACGAAACAAGGCAGGCTTTGCATTTGGAGCACGTACCATACACTCTATACTCAGACTCAAATATTGCTCTATGTTGGCTACGCAAAAACCCATCACAATTAAAGCAGTACGTTGCTAATCGCGTTGGCTGCATTCAATCGATGACAAATATCAGGCATTGACATCACATTCCTACCAAACTCAACCCAGCTGATTGCGCCAGTCGTGGCATATCCCCTTTGGCGTTGCAAAACTACGCATTATGGTGGCACGGTCCTAATTCAACTGATTATTCAATCAATGAGCTGCACCACTGTGCACCAGCAGAGCTGGCAATAATGGAAGGCGAGTTAAAACCAGTTAAGGTAAAGGCATTGCAGGTAATAGGTCAACCCGCATTACAGACACACTACACCGCTGGCGACGAATTGGTCGTCATAGATCTGTTGGACCGGTTCAGTCATCTTGGCAAGCTATTGCGCACTACTGCATACATATTGCGTTGCAAAAAGGCACATCATCGTTTTCGTTCGCATACACACATCAGTACAGGCGAAATGGACATTGCTTTAAATCACCACATCAAGGCAGAACAAGCGAAATATTTCGCAGCGGAAATCAAGCAGCTGAAAAAGGCCCAGCCCATATCTACATCCAGCAAGATCATTGCACTGAGTCCATTCATCAACTCCACAGCGGACAATATATTGCGAGTAGGCGGACGTCTACATAATGCGAGGGTGGCAGAGCCACAGCGTCATCCAATCATTCTTCCGAAGGATAGCACATTGGCCAGGCTTTTAATATGGCAGGTGCATCAGGACATAGCTCGGGTCACCCCATCTCCACCATTTGCAAGATCTGGCTTAGACTATTGCGATCCATTCAACATACGCATTGGCTCCAAGGCTGTAAGAACCGTACGGAAGGCTTACGTGGCAATCTTTGTGTGCATGGTAACCAAGGCAGTGCACATCGAATTGGCTGAAGATCTCACTTCTGAGGCTTTCATAAATGCATACACCCGTTTCGTAAACCGGCGTGGTCCATGTAATCATTTATACAGTGACAATGGCACTACATTCATTGGCGCAGATCGCTTAATGACCGCTGACTTACAGGCTTGCCATAATGAATATTCTCAACAGAAATTGGCAAATCGAGGCACAAAATGGCATTTTCTATCACCTGGCGCACCTTATCAAGGCGGTCTATGGGAAGCTGCCGTTAAGTCAGCGAAGAAGCACTTACTACGCATTGTTGGCACCCATTCCATTTACTATGATCAGCTACATACTCTACTTGTACATATCGAGGCTTGCTTGAATTCACGTCCACTTATACCTTTGCATGACACTTGTGACGACAAGATTGCTCTATCACCTGCAGATTTCCTAATTGGCAGATCTCTATTGGCAGTACCAGATGAACCTATTGGCAAGGTACCTAGCAACAAATTATCATACTGGCGACAATTAAGGCAAATGCAACAGCATTTTTGGCGACAATGGCATGATGAATATCTTTCAACTTTGCAACCACGTTCCAAATGGCATCAGAATGGCGACAACATCAACATAGGCGATGTAGTGGTTATCCGGCACGAGAATCTACCAGCAACACATTGGCGGCTTGGCAGGGTGATTAAACTTCACCCAGGCGAAGATGGTATGGTACGAGTAGTCACGATCAAGCATTCAGCAGGCGAATGCATGCGACCTATCCAAAAGATATGCAGGCTTGTGGAGCATCCTGAACGTACCCGTCCAGCCGGGGAGGATGTTTGAGATTTGGCACACCAACTAGGCGATATGGCAGCACACATTTAGTAGTTTTTGACGATGGCATCCTAACATCTGGCAGCGATAATTTTGGCTTCGGTTTTTTACTTTTTCTTTCTCCTTCTTCTTTACTTGACTGGCATGGAGTGTGCACGTTTATTTGGCTTGGCGAGATATAAATTATTCTAGTCTAATTTTTTTCTAAATTGAATAAATAAATAAACATTTTGCGTGTGTGTAAAATAATCGTGTTTGTTTTTCATACAAATACTTTATATATTACTGTAAATAATTCCAATTCAGTGATTGTAAGATTATTTCTTATATTATTCCGCTGTGATGAAGAAGTCAAAAAAAAAAAATCGAAACAGCAATTTTATATAGGAAAGAATAACATAAATAAATATAATAAAATTATGTTTCGCTAAACCATGGGTTTTGCAAATATATTTTCACACAACCTTACGTTCTACAAGTAATGTACCTCAAAAGCTTTTTCCTGCTTACACATAGTAGAAAAAGTCTACAATCACCCACAAAATTTTTTTTGTATATCGCATAATTTTTTTAATTTTTACTCAAATTAATTTTTGTTTTCTGATTTCTTTTAACCAAAAAAACAGGAATGCAGTTCAAACATAAAAAATTAACAGTTATTCTTTAAAAAAAAATTAAACACAATTATATATAAAAGCAACAATTATCAGTTGATTTCTTAAAAAGTCTAATAATTAATTATTTAAAAATATTTAATTTAAATAAACAATAAATTTTTACAATGGAACATAAAAAACATGAATTTAGTATTAGTGAACGACAAATAACTGTTCAATTTTGGAAAGATGACGTAAGCCAACCAAAAATTGCTGAAGATATTGGTCGTCAATATTCATCTGTGCAGAGAGTTATAAAGAACTTCCAGGAAACGAGTAATTACCTTTCTAAACCTCGCACTGGTGCCCCTTCAACTCTGTCAGATAGAGAAAGACGTTGTATAATCATCCACATGAAAGTAAATCCAAAAGTAACTGCATCCACACTAGATGAACATATTGCCAAAATACTTGAAAATAAAATATGTCCTGAGGCTGTGCGGAAAATTTTGAAGAAATGTATGTATTATACCCTCTCCTACGTCGTAGGCACCTTAACGTGGTGTAGGGACTTAGCTACAGGCAAGCTTGCTGACTACGGAATTCCTGTCCGCTGACCACTCAGTGGACGGACTAAGGAGAACATCCCACAACCTTGTACTGGATGATCATCCGAGTTAACCGTCTCTTTCGGTGATGCCAGAAAACTGAAAGGTCTGAGTGGTCCAGGTACAAAATGGTATCTGCAGTATCTCGAATAGGGCTTAACGCCCGAAGAAAAAAAGGCAAAAGCCTTAAAAACCATACACCGACCAAAGAACATCTCAGTGCCAAAGAAAAGATTCACACCTGAGATAAGTCCAACAGAAGGTAATACTGCCAAAAGAAGCAGGACCCAAACTTGTGCCTAGTACAGCAAAAACTGCTCTTTTATGCTCAAGAGGACTGTAGGTTCCGAAGTCAGCTACGCAAACATTACCAGGGGTATAAGATTGGCAATTCTTCTTCCTCTATACCCGGAATCTATTTCCATCTGGGAAGAGCAAGAAAGAGTGGAAAACCTCTTAATGGACGAAATGTTCAAAGTCTGTAAGGACAAACTTTCAACAACGTCCTATACTGGTAGACTTTGTGAGCAAAGAAACGGCTGACTGTGTCTGTAAAGTAATACCACAGCTCAAAAACTGGGAAGGGCTCAGCTGACCACGTGCACTAAGGAAAACATACAAAGTGTTCACTGTATGACAGCTCTGCTTAATTTGTTAGTAATACATAATGAAGGACTTTACACATTTGTGGAGAATATTCAAGAGCAAGGATATGAAGAATGGGACGCTGCTAACGATTGAGATTGACGACCGACCGTTAGAAGCTATAAGAGCGGCAAGCTGAAGAATCGTCTACAGGTTCAGCTGTATCCCTGTACACAAGAACAGGACGGCTATAGACATCATAGCAACTGAAGAAAATGAATTATCGCCAATTCCGGGGGTAGAAATACCGGAGGAGGTGGTAAGAAGTATTGAAGCAGAGGCCACAAGGAGCCAACATGTTGAGGAAATCAGTATCCTACCTCATGCAAATGAGGACATTGATGACCTCGACATAACGATGCTAAACTTGGCGGAAGCGGAAGACTAGGACCGAGTCTATCTATCAAACGTCGATAATGTCCCACTGACAGAGAAGAAAACCAAGGTCTGAACAACATGTATGATCAATATAAAAATAGCTCAAATAAATTTACCTCATGCAAAAGCTACTTCAGCAGTTATTGCAAAAGCAGCACTCAAGAACAATCTGAGTGTAATACTGGTCCAAGAGCCAAGATTACACAGGGATAATATAAGATGTCAAATGTGATAACCCCAGAACTTGTATGGTATTGAATAAAAATATTAACTTTCTATGTCTTTCAGGATTCACATTAACATCAACGGGAATCTCATAAGCATCGTCTTAGCAACCGGGTATCTACTGAGATACTACCTGAGGGCATATGCAGACTGTGACGCTAACGCACACAACGAGGTTTGCGGCAGCACAGACACTAACAAACGGGGTGAGTACCTTCTAGAATTTATAATTAAAAATAAATTAGAAATTATAAATATCAGGAATACACCAACCTTTGTAACTAGGAAACGTGAAGAGGGTCTATATATAACACCAGACTATTGAATTATAAGATTTGACATTGAAGGAGCAGCCTATATCAATAGAAACCATAGGTACACAGACTGGGAAAAATACCAGAATAACCTTGGAGTTAACCTAAGTCTGTTAGATATAGGGAGAAATATCCAGAATTCAACCCAACTAGAATCCACAGTTGAAAACAGTTGCCATTATTGATACATACGAAAGTAGCTGCCCGATAAGCTCAATAAAATCAACCAAGGACATACCTCGGTGGAACAATAAACTCACGACGTTGAGAACAACGGCTCGAAGCCTGTTCATTCGATCCAAGCGCACTGGGTGCTGGACCGAATATAGAAGCACTCTCATTCCCTATAATAAGGACATTAGGAGAGCAAAAAGAGAAAGCTTCAGAATGTTCTGTAGTAGCATAGAACACACTACGGAGGCAGCAAGGCTCTGCAAAGTATTGGCCATAGAGAAAACACTCTCCTCAACCAATCTGAAAAAAGATGACAATACACGAAGGGAAGGATCCAATTACTTTTCAAAACTCACTTCCTAGGATCCTTTAGCAAGGAGGGACAAGAAACTGAGAACACCAATCAGAAAGCTTGCCAAACAGCAGATAAAGGAACCTGAGCTATAGCCAAGGAAATATGTACGACAGCTAGGCTCTAATGGGCGGTGAAAAACTTTAAGGCATTTAAATCACCTGATATGACATACTTCCGGCACTTATTCAACAGGGAATAAAATATCTGCTAACCCTGCTGACGAAGATAACTAGGGCTAACATTGCGTTTGAGTATATACCAAACGATTGGAAAAGGGCAAAGATAGTTTTCATACCAAAAACAGGTAAGAAGGATCCACTGGTGAATGAACTACTTCACGAACTAGGAAACAACGGACTAGCAACGCAAGGCTAAGCAGATAACATGTTCATAACAAGCAGAGGAAAATTTGAACATATTTAATACTATAGAATCTAATATGGATTAAAAATCACAAGAAACTGGTTCAACAAGGTAGGACTGAGTATAAACTTAGCTAAAACTACAGTTGTTACCTTTACAACAAAATACAAACTCAAACGTCTGGGACCACCTCAGACTTGATGGAATTGAGGTAGAAATAAAGAAAACGGTTAAGTTCTTGGCATACATTTAGATCAAAAACTCAACTGGAAACACCACATTGAGGAGGTCACGAAGGAAGCCACTAGAGCTCTTATGACCTACAGATCCATAGCAGGCAAAGTTGGGACTGTACACCAAAAATACTGCGATGGGTCTACTCGGCGATCATCAGACCTATCATCTTATACTTTGGAAAAGGGAACCAGACAACAGAGTAACACTTACACACTAAACTTACATACATTATACTCACATCCTTACTGATGAGATCCCAAATGGAAAGGGCAATACTACGAATGAAGAAAGGAAATATAACGGATAGCTAGCTCAATAGAAGGAAGTTCGAACATCTTGCGAAGCAGCGTCCGGAACTTTTAATCCCATGGGACCTATCAGTCGAATAGCACAAACGCATGGTTCATTGACGGCTACTCCGTAAGTAAGATGCCGGAGCGGGCATAGTCGGACCAGGCAAGAAGCACTGGAATGCGCTGGGGAAAAATACTAGCATCTTCCAAGCGGAAATTTACACAGTTTTAAAATACGTACCCATCAATATTGGACAGAATTACCAGGGTAAAAATATTGCAATACTAACAGACAGCCAAGCTAGACTGTTAGACTGCTTTGATAATCTAAATCTGCTTGGTGAAACAAATCAGGTGACGATTCTCTGGGTACCGGGACATACTGGCGTACGCGGAAACGAATACGCAGACAAACTTGTCAGAAAAGGAGGAGCCACACCGATGATGGGGCCGGAACCTTTTTGTGAATTAGGAAATAGTACGCTTCTTTCTATCATAAAATTAAGCAGAACCACAATAAAAAGGGTTACTGGGATAATATACTAGGTTTAAAACAATCCAAATCATTTATTGGTACCTGTAACAATAAGAGATACCAGGATTGTATGAACTTATCAAAAGAAAAATTTAGAATCATCACAAGAATCATAACAGGGCACTGTAGACTAAACCACCACCTTATAAAACTGGGTATATTTACGGATGCAAACTATAGATTTTGTTAGACTGCCCTGCGCTAATACACATACGAAATAGACTCCTAGGAATGCATATTCTTACGGAAGAGGCAGTAAAACTCTGTAAAGAAATGTTTGGTTTTT